TTCTATCCATTCTATTATGATAAAAGGAGTGAAAAACATCTGAAAAGTACTACAGGCTCAGCAAAACCCTTTTATCTAATTATGGGCCTAAAGAATGTGTCTAGTCTATGCATCACTTAACTACTGTATTACTGAAGACCTATTTATTTCAGTTATTTTTACTCATGTACCATGTGGGGTATTCTGTAAAATAAAATAAGCCATTCTGTAAGTAAAACAGAACCAAACTTAGATATGTCCAAGCAGTGTTGAAGTTAAAATTTAAAACAATAATGATGAACATATTACAGACTTCTAATTGAAAGGATAGAAAACATGCAAGAATACATTGGCAAGGAAAGCACATGAAAATTCTAAAAGTCAGAAAAAATGCTAGAAATAAAACAAAGCTCTATAAACAAAGGGAAAAATAACGTGATGAGTGCATTAGGTATGATGTCATTGAGAATCAGAGAAAAAGAAAGCTGTTACAATCATAAAACCATACAGGAATTTAAATGTTCATCACTCTACATTACTAAATCATAAACCAATCGGGAACTCATTTGAAAAGGCTATATACTTTGTCATAGTTTGGAAAAGGCAAAACTATGTAAAGAGCAAAAAGTTCAGTGGTTGTTGGGGACTGGGAAGGAAGCAGAAATAAACAGGTAGAGCACAGGGGAATTTTAAGACAGTGAACTTATCCTGTATTAAACTATAATGATGAATAATCATCCTTCTATGGCTGTCCAGACCTGTAAGTTGAGCAGTACCAAGAAGGAACTGCGACGTGAACAATGGAATTGCATGGCAATGCCATGCCAATGTAAGTTCATCTCTTGCAACATTAGGAGAAGGATATTGATAATAGGGATGACTGTTTGTGTGGAACCAGAGAGTACATATGCTCTCTAACTTGCAATGGGATCGCATCCTGATAAGCCATCATAAGTTGAATGCATCATAAATTATAATTGCATTCAGTACACTTAGGCCACCAAATATCCCAGTTGTTGGTTGCTTGCCCTGTGATTTCGCTGTTGTTGGTAGCTTGGCTACTGCCACAGTGCAATTTCACAAGAGGACATAGAGTTCATGTATCACTAGTCCAGGAAAATCACCAAAATTCAAACTACTTTTTGTACAGAATACATACTGCATTTACACAGTTACAAAAGCAAAACCTTAGAAAGACTGAAGTTTCATGAATCAAAGAATGTCTGTACAGCAACCTTGTACTCTCTACTCGATGCTCTTATAAATTTAAAACTGCTTTTAAAATGGTATTCTTAAATTTATTTATTTATTGTATTTAAGACAGGGTTTACGCGTGTACAGGGTCTCACTGTGTAGATTGGACTCATAGTGATCCTCCTGTTTACAGCCTCCCAAGTGCTGGGATTACAGGCATGCACCACTGTACCTAGTCTCATTCACCATCTCAGCATGTCCTGGGGGCGGGGCCAGCATGGCAGGCCTGGGGATCGAACTTCTCACCCCTGCAACTGCCTAAGCAGATGCTTTAATCCACTGAGCTATTTAGGTGGCTCATATATATTTTTTAAAATATAAAAAACTAGAACCAATATCATATTTTGATGAAAAACTGAAGTTTTTCTCCCTGAGAGGAAAAATAAAGCAAGGATGCCAACTTTCAACATATTTACTGAACATTGTACTATATATTGTTGAGATTTGAGAAGGCAAAGATTAAGATGAGCATCACAATACAAAGATAAGACTGTCACTATTTGAAAGTGATGTAATTATATACAGATAGATAGCTGTAGGGCATATATAATATGGTACAATAACTAAGGTAAAAACTTGGTGTTATTTTTTAATTTTTTATTAATTTAATGAGAAAGAAACAGCAATGAGAAAGTTTCAAAACAGGTTAGTAGGACAGTTACAATAATTAATACATTGCATATTGTCTTCAGAGTGGTTATTCACAGTACAAGATGCAGACATGATCTCTTCTCTAAACAATATTAGTACCAATGTTTTTTTTAATTGAACTAAGAGAAAGTAGCTATATATCTATCCTAACTATTTTGCATATACATATATATTTTTCCACTACAAAATGATCTTTCATTTGTATCTTCCTTTTCCATTTTATTTTGTCAGACATAGGTGTTTCATTTCTGTTAAGAGAAGCTATATTTGGAGAAGTCTTTAAAAGACCTTTTCATACTTGACACCAGTTCAAATATTGTAGGTCCTTGAATTCAGCAAAATATCTCAATATAGTCCAATAGTCCATAATAGTAGTGGGTTATCAGCAGAGCTAGCAATTATCAGAAAGTTGTTTACTTGAGCCTTTTACAGCTCAGCATATTAATATGGCGTTACTTTTTATACCTCAGGATTATACTTTTCTGCTGGATCATTAAAACCAAAGTAAAGCAAGACCTATATAATTAAATAGTAACTTCAATATTCAGACAGATAGTGATGTTAAGCTCAACTGCCTCTGTTATGGGGTAGTAATATCACTAAGCTTCTCTTCTGGATGGTTAACAGCTAAAGTTTGCAAAGGTGGCTTGTGAGTTAGCTCAGTTGTTTAAGCTTCTGCTGGGGCAAACCTAGTCAGGCCCAGGGGACCACAGTTCAATCCCCAGCTCCCCATGCCTTACCAGACCCACCATTAAGGCAGCCTCAGCCAGAAAAAAAAATCCTAAAGTTTGCAGACCAAAAATTAGAGAACAAGAAGGGCTACAAGGATAGCCAATATTTTGGCCCTAGTCCTTCAGAGTCAGTGAGTACTCAGGACATACTTGAACCTGTGCTGTGACATTCTGTAACTCAGTGGTGTCCCAAATTTTCTGTTCAAAGAGATTATGGGGCCACAAAGGATAGTGACCGACAATATATAGTGTGCCTAAGGAGAGTCACTTAGAAAAAAAAAATCTCTCAGGCTTTCATAGAAAGCAGATTGGTCAAGCAATGGCCATGATTCATCCAGATGACTGACACTGACAAAAGATCTACAAAGTGCTCTACACAGTTTCGGGGTAAATCCTGAGGAGATTTGACTGACTTTGTCACATACAAAAATTTGGTATTGTTTTAAAATATACTACTTACATAAAAATTGCTTCTTTCTGAAAAACATTAGAAAATGCCATTCCATAATTCCATTTATATAGTCATACCACAAATACAAAACACTCTTTAAAAATCTAAACAAACACCACCAAAACCTTCACATTGCAAATCACAGCACTATGCTGAGAGAAATTAAACCAATTTTAAGTAAATACTATATTCCCGGAATAGTCAATATTGATAAGATGGCAATTATCCTTATATTAATTTTGTATTTAACCCAATCTCTGATAAATCTTTTAGTATAGTAAATATAATTTGATGTAATCAGTGATATAGCTTGCCATATCATAAGCCTATATAAATCTGTAGTCATGAAGTATGTGTTAGTACTGGCAACAATATTACTTATTAGACTAAAATTATTGTAAATTTAACAATAGACAAGAAGGGGTAGCTTTCTGTAAGAAATTGCAGTATTTTAAATTGGGTCAAAATATTCATTAGGGCATATTTTAAAGTGCTCTATAGGGCTGTCATTTATATAAAATAATTTTTAAAAATGAGCATATTAATATAATTATTAGATTTATTTTTTCAATACAGGGAAGAGCTCTCAGTCCTTTTTAAAGTTATAAAGTCATTTTATAAAAAATGAACTCAGGGTCTGGGGAGATAGCTCAGCCGTATAAGTGCCTGCCTGGCAAGTGCAAGGTCCCAAGTTTCATTCCTGGTACTGCATGCCAAGCCAGCCTGGAACCCCAAGTGGCTGTGCCGGCCCCAGAACCAGGTACCATGATTCACACCTGTAATCCCAGTGCTGGGGAGGCTGAGACAGGAGGATCACTATGAGTCCAAACTGTGTAGTGAGACACCGTATTTAAAAAATAAAAAATAAAGATGAACTCAGAAACTAACTGTTGAGGCATGTGATCAAAAAGTAATGTAGAAATGAATTTTGGAGTTTAAACTTAGTACATGAGCGTGACTCTTAAATATTTTATAATTATGTGTGACAGCTGTGTTATCACAAAAAAAATCCATAGTTCGACACTTTCATCATTATTTGCACTTCAGAGTTGCCATTTGAAAGGATATTCAAAGTATCATGCAATTTTCACATGCAAAATAAGGAAATGCATTGTATCCTCTTTTAATTGGATTACGAATGTTATGAAATAAGCAAAAAATGTCGGTCACTTAAAACCTTCCATGATGGTCTTTATTTTAAAGAATAAATTAATCAGTATTCATATGTATGTTTAGTATATAACACAATCAAATTTTTCTCAAGGTTATATTTTATTGCTTATTTTCTCTTATAAATTTCACTAAAAGTAAAATGCATTTCATTCTTTCCCTCCATCTGTGTGTGTGTGCATGTGTGTGCACATGTGTGTATATGAATGAGACAGACAGAGAGAGAGAGAGAGAGAGAGAGAGAGAGAGAGAGAGAGAGAGAGAGTCAGAGGGAGACAGAGGCAGAGAGACAGAGAAAGTTGAAGTTTTAAAGTTTTATTTATCATTTCTGAAGATCAGCAGATACTCAGTACAGAGCCTTTGGATCTAGTATGTCTATGACAAGTTCTGAAAACCTAAGCAGAGCTTTAATTTTTCCCACTTCAATGCCTGGGAAAAATACAGCAATGAACTTCAACTGTGCTCAGATGGGTTTTGGAATTACTAACCAGCCTTCAAGTCTTACGACATATGAAATTTTGCTAATAACCCCAAACCCCTGAACAAGGTACACACTTATTCTAGAGTTCTCTGACATAATTTCTGTATAAACTGGAATGAACAATAAACATGAAATTAGATTCTGAAAATGCATGTCTGTTACACAACATTTTATCTAGGAGGAAGAAGAAAGTATATAAAGTCACTAATACAATGATTTATTGTTTCTTTAGCTACTTGAGTTATCAAATTCAAAGAGATCAAGAGGAACTGACAAACATCAGGACTCATCCATTGCCTCCAGATTCAGCCTATCAGCTGTTCCTGGGCCATGCCCAAAAGGCTCCCTAGGTCTGCTTCTCTGGAGACTGCTTGGAGCAGGGAGTCCTCTCTGGTTTCTTGGCCACCTTCTGGTTGCTGATGCCCAGGGCCTCCAACTGCATGGCCACTTGCACAGTGTGCTCATCTAAGTTTGTCTCAGGCTGTTCTTTGGGGGGTGCCTCTTTCTGAAGCTCCAGCTTGGCAGTAGATTTCCTGTCAGAACAAGGTTTAGGAGTGCAGGAAGCCTCAGCTCTCCAGGAGCTTTCAACCTCATCAGTGACTGCAGAGGACAGGCCCTGTGTCTTGGGCTGCAGCCAGCAGTGGCTAAGAATCTGGTCAATGTGCAACCGCTGGTTCACATCTGGTTGGAGCATGCGGTAGATGAGGTCCTTGCACTCCCTGGTCAGGGGCTTATAACGTGGAAAGTTAACACGGTGCTCCTTCTGGAGACGCAGCATTCTCTTAATGTTGGAGTCGTCATAGGGCATGGTGCCACAGACCATGATATAGAGGATCACACCTAGACTCCAGATGTCATACACCTTGGGTTGGTAGGGGATGCCCTGTAGCACCTCAGGGGCGGCATAGGCAGCTGACCCACAGAAGGTCCTACTTAATGTCAGTTGACCGCTCTGATCCCGTGAGCAGCACTTGGAGAAGCCGAAGTCTGACACCTTGATGTTAAAGTCATTGTCAAGGAGGAGGTTCTCACACTTGAGGTCCCGGTGGACAATGTCCAGATCATGGCAGTACTTGATGGCTAAGGAGAGCTGGTGGAACTTCTTTCGAGCATCATCCTCTTGCAGGGCTCCCTGGACTTTGATGAAATCGAGGAGATCACCCTGGGATCCAAGCTCCATGATGATATAGATCTTGCCCTGCACTGTCTCAAAAATTTCATAGGTCTTGATGATGCAGCTATGGTTTAGAATAGTTAGAACTCGAAGTTCTCGGGGAAGGAATTTCTCTAGAAAGTCAGCGGGTGCTCTTTTGCGGTCAATAATCTTGATAGCCACATTGATCTTTAGGCGCTCAGAGTAAGCAGATTTGACTTTGGCATATGAGCCTTCTCTCAAACTTATTCCCAGAATGTAGCCACGTCTCCTAAGGACAACATCTTTGTCCATGGATTCAGCAGTATCCTTTGCCTCTGAAAGTTGAACTCAGTATCACTCTGAGACCTGGTCATCAGTGAACTCTAGTAAATGGTAGGCAGAGTCCTCTGAGTTGACTGAACCTCTGGTTCCTATCTCCTAAGAGGCTAAGACTATAGGATGGAACATTTGACACAGTCTCCAAGGTGACTTCTGTGGGTGAAGTCACAAAAGAGTACAGCCTTAGGGGAACGAGGCTCTGACATGGCAACTCTGGGACTTGGAACTCTGGAAGGGAGTTCCAGCAATGGGCTGGGAGTTTGAGGATGAGTACAACAGCATTGTGCTCGGCTGAGACCTGAGGGAGAAGGGAGTCAACAGATAAGTGACATCTTCATTCGGAACCAAGACCCAGGACATCTTGTGGAGTGGTGAACTTTTTGGTGGGAAACCAGGTCAGCTCACACAATCCAGGACAGGTAGTCCTATCTGTCACACTCCTAGCAGAAAAATGAAGACAAACTCATTTTAGGACAAGCTAAGGGGGTTTAATAGAACAGCATTACCAAATTGGAAGCAAGATATGAGGACCTTCAAAGACAGTGCAAGTGTCCTACGGGAGTAGCAAAAACATAGCCTGCATGGAAAAAAACAGGTAGTGGGAACAGTGCTATAAAGAAGGCCACCCTGAAAGAGGCAGTAGTAACATTTGAAAGAGAAAAGGATCCAGGCCGTAGAGACCTCAGAGACCTATGGCAGAGACAACGCCTTGCCTCTTTTCCTTCCCTTCAGCTCCCAATGCTGTCTACACAGGCAGCTTGCAGGGCCCAGGGGGAGACCCAGAAGAGTGCTGGTGAGTTAGGAAAGACAAAGACTGCCTGTTTAGATTTCACCATAGTGTGTGTCTCACTCTATGGTTTGGCTCAGCTCTTACCTTCAGCACTTCTCTTCCTCACCTGAATTTTTGGCAGCCTGCTTCTCTTGCAGTGGGATCCTGCTTTTACCTGAGAGGCTTTGGCTGCATTCCTAAAGAAGAGCTGGGTAGTGTGTGACTGCTGGTTGACATCAGGCAATGGACTGAGGCTGGCAGGCGGCCAAACAGACCCAGACTCCATGCTGAGTCCTGGCAGCTGCTCCTGGGGGTGATTCATGAACCCAGAGTTATTCTTTTTAATACCTGTGGCTCTTATCATTGGATCTACATTTCTCACATCCTATTTAGCTATTAGACATATATATATATATATATATATATATATATATAATTTTTGAGAAGTCAAGAGAACAACATTAGTTTTGTTTCTTTTATTCATCTTTATTTTCCTTTGGAAATGTCCAGAACAATACTGCTATCCTAGTAGGTCTTTTGATCTGACTTTTCAAGGAAACTCAGAGACCTCCTCCCTGTACTTTTGGTCTCCATTGATTCCTGAAGCCAGATTTTACAAAAACCTTCTGTGTCACTTTACTGCTATTTGCTTTCAATAATTCTGCCATCAAAAGCTTCATCAATTAGCTATTATAAATATAATTTTCACATTAACTAACTTTATTCCTGCAACTTAAAAAAAAACAGATAACAGCATTTGTTTTGTTGGAGATTATTTTAATACACTTGCTGCAGCTAGTAGATAAGGTATTGAGTCAGAAATTACCTTTCTATAACATGTTTACATTTTTCTTCTAGACTTCCCTACAAATGGCCTAGAAACAATCGGTCAAATTAAAAATCACTGATAAAATTAAGGAACCTCTTTTACATTCAGCCAATTTGGCCTTTGCTTTAACTTATTTAGCAGCCCTACAAAAACTAAACCTGTTTGCAAATTCAGTTAAAGGGATAGGAATAAGCTGAGTGAAGTCCCTCACCCTTTCTCAAAGAGGGAAATAATAAACTTATTGTTCGCCAACCTTCTTAACAAAGCAGCATCTATTACAGCTTACTAGCCTTGAGGGCAGGAAGCAACCTATTTGCCAAAAGTATAAACAGACTCACAGTCATTCATGGTCAATGGGGTTTTCTTAAGCCTATGTAGAAACCATTTTTGCAACTCCATTTTAGCTTCAGAATGAATTGAAGCTGAATTGCTTATTTAATGAGCATTCCGAGCAATAGTAGTAATCAATGAAACAAAATTAGGGAAGCATTAAATAAACAGCAAGATCGACAATATTAAAGTGCTACTCTGTACCTATGAATCATTTAGAAAAATCAGTTTGCAAATTGGTTATGGTACATACTAACCATGCACGGCTTCCTTCTCATTTTGTCTGACAAAAGTTGAGATTTTAGTAATAATAATAATAATAATACAGAGAAAAAATAATTCGGTGGAAGTGCTGCAAGCCTGTTAGTGCAACTTGATTTCATCTGATGCGCTCTCCAATCCTGCTAATTACTTTTCTCTGCTTCTTGAATGAACCAATCTAACAGTTCTAGCCATAGATTTTCTTATCATTCTTTATGACAAAAATTTAGAATAATCCTAAAAATGTTTTCATAAAAATATGATAGAATCTTAACTCAACCTCCCTAGATACCCATTTAGTGATTATTGAGTGTCTAACCAAACAATTTAATTGTCTTAATTTTTTTTATTTTTTTTAGGGAAGGGTCTACAGGGTATTCAGGGTCTCACTGCTAGATCAGACTCATAGTGATCTGCCTGTTTACAGCCTCCCAAGAGCTGGGATTACAGGTGTGTACCACCATGTGCAGTCTCAATTACTGTCTCAGCCTGCCCCAGGGGTGGGGCTGGCACTGCCAGGGGATCAAACCTGGCTCCCGTACCTGCTTTTAGGTACTTTAATCTGCTGAGCTATTTGGCCAGCCCATTTAATTGTCTTAATTACTTTTCTCCTTGCTGAGACAAAATACTTGACACCCAAAGTTAAAGGGAGAAATGTTTATTTAGCTAGTGCTTTGTATGGTTTCAGTCTATAATTGGCTGGCAGCAAGGCAGGGTGGCTTGGCAGAAAGGCATCTTAAAGGAGAAACAGTTCATGGTTGGTAGGGGTAGCAAGACAAACAAGAGACAACCATAGCATCTTTCTTCCCTTTCCACCTTATCCAGGATACTCACACAGTAGCACTTACATCCTTAAACACTACTGCCCCTTAGCCTAGTGTTGTACCCTGAATCAATTCTAGCACCGCACAGTACAGATCCAGCCCCTTCTGAAAAAGCCCCACACATGAGGCTTCAGGGGGACATCTAGACATAAGCAACAACAAATCATATGATAAAATTTTTCATCAACTGTTATGGACTTAAATTCTTTCAATCACTAATTGGACAATGTGTTGAGATTCACAATTTATATGTCTCCATTCAGCAACTTCAAAAGGAGCCAAAACTTCAAAACAATATGTAGGGTCTCAACAACCTCTTCAAGTTTTACACTGAATGACCTATATGAACAGAGGGAGAAGTCATGATTTTCATAAGATTCTTTGAAAAGAGATCCAGATAAATATAGTAAGGAATCATGGATGTAACTGATAGTCTTCCTCTTTATTATCTTTTAACTTTAAAGATTTAGAGATCATTCCAATAATAGAGTTCTGTACATATCCAACTATTGTATATTGCAGTAACTACTTTTGGGAATAGACAATAGAAACCAAGAACAATTGTATTTTACTCCCTGGTGATTTATAATTTAATCATAGCACAATCAGTACTAAAGAAATGTGACTCATTGATTTTTCAGGATGACAACTTATATTTTATTTTATTTTGCTTTTTGTCTTGTGGACATGCAGTATCTAGTCAGGCTTCTAGTCTTTTTTTAAAAAATTCTTTTAAAATTTTTATTTTATGTACAAAGAGTTTGCATGTCCGGCGGGGGTGCGGGGGTAGACGAGGGCGGCAGCGCCACGCCCCGACCCCCAGAAGGCTTCTAGTCTTAATGTATAAATTGGAAACAAAAATCAGTCACTAAAACTTGTCAATTTTCTTCTTATACATCTTTCTCAGTGACCCAATGTTTCATTGAACCCATTCTTTCTACTGTCACCTACACCACAATAATAGTTTCTATGGCAATATTTTTGTTAATCTTGCTTCATATTTCATCTTAAAGTCAAAATGATCTCTTAAAAATGTTTAATGTCAGGTATTACTTTGAAACTTCAATGTCTTCTCACTGATCTTAAATGCTGCCCATAATGCTTTGCAAAATAAATTTCTTTCTTGATTTTACAACCATATATCTTATTACTGTATCTATTTATTCCATGACCTACCCATTCCCATAGCACTGAGTTTCTTTTGATTTTTTAAGAAAGCTATATCTCCTTATACTTTCTAGGTTTTATCATGTATTAGTCTTCGCTCTGGAATTACTGTTCTTTTTCCAAAACAGGAGCATCAACATATTTTGGAAACTCATTAGAAATATGAAACCTGTTTTATATCCTTGGCCTGCTGAGTCGGTGATTATTTCTTTTTCTATCAAGCATTTTATGTGATTCTTATGAGTTCTTAAGTTGGAGGAAATGTGTTACAAAAAAATTTTGTCTTATTTGCCCTGTTCATCTTAGATCTTTGAGGAATTTTTGTCAGGTTTTGAGTTTTGCAAAGAATCCTCTAATCCCCACAAAGCTAATATTATTCATTTGCCATATATTCCTATAGAATTCTAGAGCCACAGAAAATTCTGATTGATTTTGAGTATCTAAATGGAGGGCAGAAATATGAACATTAAAATGTACATGCATATATTTCTTGTGTGATGTTAATAGTTCAAATTGGTAATCACCTATTTAAATGGTTTTTCAATATTAACTTTGAGAAAAATAGCATAAAAGGAGTCTCACTGTAGGTCAGAAATGCTTGGACTAAAACAGAGAAAGTTGTTGGTATGTCTGATTTATAATGAGGAAATGGTGTATGTGTATATCTGAGAAGTATGAATTAAGAGGAATGGCGGGGTTTCCGGTTTTCACAAGAAATCAGGGTTGACAGAGTCAGTAAAACATCCATGGTCAGATAGTAAGGGTTAGAGAACACTATTGAAAGTCACATACTAATTCACAGGACTAGAAAGGTAACAGACAGAACAGAAGATAAAATGTTTACCACCAAAATTAAATTCTAAAATGTCTTAGGCTCCTCCTGCTGGTCCCAGTCCTCTTCTAAGTCTTCTTTTG